CATAAATCAGATACCAGGAAAATTTTTTTTTTAAATGAGAGTTTGCTAAAATATTACTGAAACAAACTCAGAGGAAAGACTTCGTATAGCGTATTAGAATGATGTCACAGAATGAATTGCCAAACAGTCCTGTCTGAAGTCCTACAGCTGGGGGAGATACCATATCCACACTTCACATGGAAGCTGTGATGTAGACACACGGTGGCAGCAGAAAAGTATGGCAGTAGTAGTGAGTGGGGTTAGGAGCATGGAATTGCCTTGCTGTAGCTAGTGGGATGAATGCTATTACTTGATCCCTTGTGTGTAGCATTCAAAAGCAGTGACACTGCCCTGCTATCTGACTGTATGGACAAGGGAAAGAAACAACTTCTGTAGAAGTTCTAAGGCTTCTAAATTTTCCCCCCTTCCTATTAAAGCAGAGTCATTTTTTAATAAAAACACATCTTGGTTAGAATTCTCAGGTTCTGAATCTCATTAGGTGACTGCTAGCAGAAATAGTTAATATTTTACCAGCATTTTGAAGTGTCACCTTATTATACTCACTTGAGATCAATTTACCTGCCCCTCCCAGTTATTCTGGCACTCTTTCCCCTTATGCTGCCTCATCTGTCTGGAACTCCTTTTCCCCAGGCCACTGAGTCATCTTCCCACTTTAAATGTTGCTTTCTTCATTGTAATTTTAAACTCACTGCCATTATAATTTGTGAACATTTATATGAAGATGCATTGCAAAAATTACATCCACAGATGCTAGTGAAACTTCAAAATTTTTTTTCTTAGGATTCAGTATTACTGACAGAATTAATTTTAAAAACTGTTGGTGGTTTTTTTTTTTTTTTTTTTTTTTTTTTTTGGTAAATCACAAATGAACTTACGGAATGGGTAGATGTGAGAACTCAAGTCATTTGATAGGATCAGCATATTGAACACCAGCAGTATCTGAATCACTCTGTCTTGGTAAAGAACGAGACTCAGGCAATGTAAGCTCACTTACCAAAGTAAGGATCGTGATCCAGAAAATTACTGAAGTAAAGCAACAGCATGAGGTGCTGACCATTCTGTCCATACAGACTGGCTGTGAAGATTGTTTCCTGAGCCAACTGTGATCTTTTCATTGTCTTAAGAGCAATACAAGGCATGAGAGAAAGAGCAAGAGAGGGAAAATACCTTTCCTATTTCTTGTGCTAGTCTCTAGAACTGTCTAGTCTCTGAACAGTCAAAATATCAATTTATTCAGTAAAAGGAGTCAAAAGACATATCACCTCTGTTAGTCTGATAAACCATGTGTGTTACAAGCCTAGTTTTGACCAGCTAGTACCTCTGTGACATGTAGTAATGCCATGTGTTATCACATAGGTTATAAAAAGGAATTTTCTTTCTGTCTATCATGGATTTGAATATGCTTTCTTAAAAAATGTCTTACTTCCTTTTGTTTTAGAAAACACAGAATATTGGAAAACTCCAAACTGACACTGAGAAAGAAAATGCAAATATTATGGTGAGTGTTTTTCATTTCATCTAATTAGTAAAAGCTTTTAAAGCACAAAAAAATCTTTTATGGTATGCTTAATTAATGGTGTGGGACTGTGGAAACTTGATGTTTGAATAAAATTTTAGACACACTCTTAAAGTATGTGCTTAATGTTAAATCAGGAAAACATAGATTTGTGGAGAAATATTTACTAGTTTGCAAATTCAAAGACAGGATATGAAGACAAAGCCTATGCTGTCATAAAATAGTTTATAACATATATTTTCAATTTTCTCACATATTTGTTGAAAAGCTAAAGGATCTGCTGGTATTGTATTGTTATGGACAGAATTTGTGAGAAGTACATTCAAATTTTTTGACTTCTCTGCACAGAAGGAATATAAACATGTATATTTCTTATACTTGAAATTTCAGTTTAAAATATATAAATGTAAAACTTTGTCAAACGGCTTTGATGGTTTTGTTAGAAAACATTGGGAAAATTAATATAAAAACAGTATCTGCCTAATTGTTACTGGGGCAAATAGTGAGCTCTGTATCCAGCTAAAATCAGCTCTCATACTAATGGCACACAGGAGCAAATGTAGAAGTGAAAACTTCAGAATTTTATCTATTCCTGTTAAATATTCCAAACTAAACCTCAGCCATCAGTTTGCCCTGAAAATGAGCAGATACGGCAATCTTGAACAATAGCTCTTTGCTGTTATAACTCTCTGGAAATTATGATTAGTTGCAGTGCTCATAAGCAAAATGCTTCTAGGTTCATGTCTATTATAATTCTGCAGGGAAGCCAGTAGAGATAATTAGAGTTCTAAACAAACTATTTTAATGCTTATGGTTATTATAAACTCAGAAGATAACCCAAGCAGATTTATAATGGCAAGGAGCTATTTAGAGGCTCAAGCTTGAACGAGAGGCCAGGAAAAATATAAAGATCATATGTCATTTACTTCTTAGGAAAAGTGGTTTCTTTATACAAAAAACGGTTTCTTTACTTATTACAAAGCAACCACTTATCTACCAGGTCAAATAAGCATGAAGTTAATAAGGAAAAAAGATAGAGAAAAAAAAAATTATATTGTTACATTGAGAAAAATTTAATTTGTAAATTTATATTGTTTGTTGAAGAGTGTTTACCTGGCTGAAACTGCTGCAAGCTTATCAGCATGCAGTATTCCTTGTGCTGAATTGCTTGTATTTGCAAAAGTTTTGTCACACTGATCACAATATTTTGTACATGTTTGCAAGCTAAAAGCTTTACAAGTCTAGAAGCTAAAAACTTTACAAATTTACAAGATAAAAAATGTTGTGGAAGTCTTTTGTGATGAAATTGGAGTTTCATGCTGGCAATCTGTATGGTGGTGGATGTCTCCACTGGGTCATGGGGCGTAGAGAAGCTGCTGTGTCTCAGTTTGATGGTATGGAAATGCTGTGCCTTTTCCTAAGGGGGACTGAGGAACAATCAGTCTCTCTTGCATCTCCAGAGATCCAAGCCCTAGGAGTAATCTCAGATTGATATCTATGTGTGTTTAAGGGTCATTTTGCTGTTCCAGAGCCCTGCCTAGAAGATATAGAAATAGCTGTGTATTATTCCTTTATGGAAATAAGTAAATATGTCTGTGTTAAGTGGGGATTATCCAGTACCCCTCAAATAATCATTTCTCTCTGGGATCAATGATCATAATTTGTGGTGCCCTAGTGGCTTGCTGACATTAATGACAAGAAAGCCTTCGTCAATCAGACAAGGGTGATGAGTCAGTGATACCACCCTCCTTATCCAAGAAAAAAATGCCAGCTAAATGCAATGGAGGTTTGGCACAGGTGACTGCTCTACTATTTCTGCTTGAAAATGATATATAGTTGCTTTGGCCTCCTCTTACAAGCTCGAAGTTTTAAACTGAAGCCATTTTTCCTGCGCTGGCAAACCAAATAAACAAAGGAACAGTCTTCTAAGAACATTATCCCAGGATTTTCTGGAGATAAGTCCCTAAATCGCTCATTAAAAAATCAACAGCAAAATGGTCAGCATCTTGCACAACTCCAGTGTTGTTAAATAAAAACAAAACCTTGTCTGTGGCAATTTTCCTTTTCTAAATGGTAGCTTGTTAATTATGGGGATGCAAGATCTCCAGGAACATGAGCAGCCATAAAATTTTTTTGCATGCAAATTGTGCACTGGGAAGCAACATTTTTTCATGTAGTTACAAGGATTTGATTGCTGATCTTGTGCAGCTTACTATGCTTATCTCCCCAAAATCATATCAACTTTTTTGCAATTCTTCTATTTCCCGTGCTAATATTCAGACTTATATTGTAGGAAATTCAGAGTTATGTTCTTCCAAGCACTCCAGTCTCTGACTGCTCTCATATAATTTCTCTGGAGGCCCTTCATAACCTGTGCAAGAAAAATCTAATTTTCCACCTATCCAAGAGTCTTAATCCACGGTAAATATTTAATCCATTTTTGAACAGAGATCTCCTATACTGAAGTTGATACCAATGGCACAGTCCATGCTGTACCAAATATCGTTTGCTAACTGCACCAAAATAGATCTTAAAGTATCGTGTCCCTCTGGGTTTCAGTAATACCTGTGAAATCATTAGGCTCATCCCGAATTAAATTATGAAAGCTGCAAACAGTACTATCTAACCATCTTTACCAAACAGAAATATCTCTGTCACAAAACAGTCCCATATTTGTGAGAGAGAACTACCAGCAGAAGTATTTCTGGTCACATTTTGTGTCTCACAGTCAATTATTTCGTTCCCGTCTAGTCTTCCACAGTGTCCTATCATAGGAATAGAGAAAAAAAGCACGTCCTGACTCTCATGTAGTCACGGAGCCACATAGTCTATTGCACAGAACTGGTGGCTGAGTCCTCTCCTTCCTAGGGAATCACGCTTTCTTCTCTCCCCGCAATCAGCCTTAGCATCCATTAGTTATTTTGCCTGTTGTGCCCTCTGGTATTCAAATGTTTCCTTACAGTTTCTTTTTGCCCCTCATCTGCAAATTTCATTGTTGTTCTGGAACCTTTTCCTTTACTCTCATACCCAAACACATCCACACCCATCTTCCCACTGCCTTATAGTTTATTTCTCTCAAAGCTTACTCATTGCAAAGCCCAAGAAATGGGGTGGAAATAGAGCTGAATGTCTGGAAACTATCAGTCTGGCTCAGCAGAGAGGGGGAGCTTTATCATGATATTTCTGGATCCCATAACAGTACTATTTTTTCCTTCTATTATCAGTTCTATTCCATGAACAAGAAGCTTAATTCTGTGAATTACATGCAAGTTCTGCCCCCCTTCTCCCCCTAGAGGAAAATAGATCATCACTGTTGTTTTCATCACAAATTTTCCTCCCTGCTGTTTCCCAAGCCCACTGAGAGAATAGATCCCCCCACCATTTGCACAATCACTCTTCTTTCACAGGTCACCCTGTGCTTAGGAAAAGGAATTACACTAAACAGTCCAAGATGGAAATTTGCAAAGAAGCCAAGAGTGCTCACCATGAAGTGGTGGGACCTGTCTGTGCATGGGAGTCAGTTCTGGTCCTCTCCTGTGCCTCTTTGTTCTCCTCAGTGCAGCCTGCTACCTTTCTGCTTGCTCTTTACGAAATAGTAAGACGGCTAATTTTAGGGTGCTTCATCATCCTGCCATGCAAAGACACAGTGTCATGTCAGAATCAGCTACATGTGGCACCACTTGGAGCTGCTATTTTGTAAGCTAAGGTTCAGTGTGTCCTCAATTCGGTGTCTGCAGGGCTGAACTGGCTCAAATATTATCTTTGTATTTCTGGAGGAGTTTACCTTAAAAATCAAAGTTCAGTATTCCAGCCTGACCAAAAGCCCAGTTTAATGACATGGGAATTGGTGTGTCAGCATCCAACTTAAACAAACAAACAAATATAAAAACAAACAAAAGACAACATGGAAATTTCCTGGTGTTCATTCAGCTTCTAGCCTGCTGTTCCATTGTTGTTATATACTAGAAAATTTAATGTAATAGTGTGAAATATCTCAGCAATAGGAGGAGAATGGGTCACATGCAGGAGGGACTGCACTCCTAACCCTCTCTGTGTGGGATGCTTGAAAATATTCAGCATCTTCAGCCCCAGCCTGCAAATGACCTGGCACTTCTGTGGCTTTTGCCACACTGCCAAGGAAACTGGGTAGTTGCTCTGAGTCCCAGCTGTTCTTTGTGTGGGCTTGGGGATATTGGATCTGTTTAGAAGTTTGTGAGCACAAGAACTGCATACCTCATGCAAAGGTCAGGTTCCCTTCGGTGTGGTCTTCCTGTCCAGCATCCATGGTTGTCCTTCACTGCTTTTCCATTTTCTGTACATCTGTCACCCTATGAGTAGCTTTATTTTAGCTATATTTTGTGGCCTGGAGGCATGAAGGGTAATGTAGCCTTTTGTTCTTGTCTACTTGGAGGTATGACTCCTCTGCTTCTCATTAACAACTCCCTTAATTACATGCCTCAGGTTAGACAAAGAGCTTGCAATCTTTGACTTAACATTCAAAAACGTGTCAGAAAATTCATTTTTTTCCCCACTATTTTGCCATCAGTTACCAAATAATTGGTCTTAGTGATAAGCACATTCACATATGAGCTAGCAAGAATCACTACAATGTGGAGGGTGGGCAGGCAGAGAACTACCACGTGCTCAGCTGTAAAGCAGCAGAGCATAGGCACATTCATTAATTCACTAACATCCAATACTGACATTGTGAAAAATGTGAGGATAACACAGAAAAACTGAAATCACATAAAAAGGTTTGTCACTGCCTTGTTTGTAATGCCATTTGCTTTCTAAAGCCTTTCCTTTGTCTTAATCAAGAACACACCACTAAACAAAGGCTTATCGCAAAGGTTAGCAATTTCTCACTGCAAAAAGCTGACACCTCCAATTTCATGTTATCAGCTGCTCTGGACACATGTTTCTATTTTTTGTTGTCTGTGACATATCAGAGTATTAAAAAAAAAGGGGGAGGGGGTTTGAAGTGAGGAATTAATGTTTAAAAAGTATGTACTGACTGCTGCTGGGAGAAAACGGAGACAGAGGGAAGAGAATTCATCCCTATATTCGCCATTCAGAGAGTTTTACACAGCTGCATCAGAAACACATCTATTAACTGAATATTTTTCAGTATTAGAGCAAAGTATGTTCTACTGGATGCATACTAACATGAATACCAAATGCACACCGAATGTACTAACAATAAGGATAGTTAGCATGTATGATTTTTTTTTTCATTTTTGTGTTGTCTAAATAGGCGTTTAACTGGAATACAAATTAAAAAAACAATTGTGCTGACAGCAATCACCAGGCAGTAACCAAGCATTACTATTTTAATAATGGCAAAGAGTTTCCTACTTGTCGTGACCATCAATAAGACTGCAACTGTCATAGCTAGCCCTCTATAATGAAGCATTTATGAGAACTAAATCACTTTCCTGAAGTCAACTGTATTTACATTTCTTGTATTCACTGGATTTTGCATCACTGCAGAATACTGTTTTTTACAAGTACTGCAAGGATATTGAGAATGCGGAGATGCAAGCATGGTCACCCACGAGAGCATGTGGTTCTCTTTGGTGCTGCTGTGGAACTACAGTGGCCATTTGGTGAATGCTGAACTGGTCGTACTGAGTGCAGGGGGTCCAAACAGCGATGTGGCACTCCCTTTCCCCCACTGCTTCTGTATCTTTAGTCCCACAAAGGAAGAAACTTTCTCCGGGCACTAAGATAGGAAGGATGAGGGTCATCTGACAGAGAAGTTCTCAAGCTAGGTAGTAAGTGGAGTCAAAATACATTTGTACTTTAGTTCAAGGCACACTTTACTTATTTTGCAGCAATATAAAACAAAAGTAATTCTTTTAAATAAAATAGCTATGTCTGTTACACAAAGGAGGTGAGATTTGTTGGATGACATTCTACGCTGTTTCATGCTTCACATGTTTCTGACTTGTAAGGCCAGTTAAATAAAAATACTTTCCTATGTAAAAATTGCACAGGGAATATTACTGTTATCTTCAAGCACGTGGACATATCCCCACATGCTGGCCAGAGGGCACATTGCACAATGACTGCTAACATTTAAAGTCTACTCTGCAGTGCGATTACTCAGTTACTGTCCTGCTTGTATCTGCATAAAAGGAAGTGTAGAAGGTAATGAATAAAATGTCATCCTCTACTTGGTATGTATGGCAGCCACTGCTAACTTTCTATTTCTGTATGCAAAACGGATGGAGGCAAATCACTTGCATCTCTCCTTCAAGCAATACATCTGTGTATTTGCCACGCTGCAAAGTACTGCATCACTTGGTTGCGTAGCAGACATTCCTATCTTGTTTTCTCCGTGTAAGAACAGAACATTTCTGCTTTGGATCCTCAGTGACACAATTAGAGCCACAAGTCCTCAGCAGTCCTATGGAGCCTCGCCTGTACAGATATACAAAGGGATACGTGACGGCTGGGCCAAGATATCTCATTTGCTTTCGTTTTTAAGAATACTGTGTTAGAGGGCAAAGCAACGCCAAGCCCGTCGCCTTCCCGACCCATCCCTCGGGTCCGCTTCTATTCCCCACCTCGTTGCACGAACCGCAGCGAGCGGTCCTCCCGACGTAAGCAAATTCTCGGGGAAAAAGCGGGCTGAGCAAGCTGTCTCCTGTGCTAATCGGCATTTTGTTGCTTCACCGGAGATACGCGCTCAGTGCAAACGAGTGCTTTAACGCGACGCCGAGGGGAGCTCGGAAACCGAACGCGCAACTCAGAGAACTGCGTTCGTTTCCATTTGTGAAACGCAGCTTCCGTAACAGAGCACAGAGACCGGAGGCACGTTTCGGATGTCAGGAACCAAGCACGCCGAAACCGCGCTCTCCGCTCCTCGCCGGGACCCCCGCCGGAAGCACCGCCGACGCCCGGCGCTCTACGGAGCCGACGGAGGAGTGGCGACCCCCTCTCTACATCGCTCGCCTGCCCCCACGGCTTCCCGCCCTCTCGCTCAGACTCCACGCAGCCGTACGCGCCCCGCCCTTCCCGGCGGCGGCACCACAGCAACGCGACGCAGGGCGCGGCCATTCAACGCCCCTCCGCGCGGCGGCCCGGTGACGTCACGCAGCGCCGCCGCCCCCGAGCGCGCGGCCGGGGCGAAGGGGGGCGGTAGAGCGGACGCGCCTCGGCCCCGCCCGCGGATCTCGCGCCTGCGCGGCGGCGCCGGTCGGGCCCTGTCAGCGCTCCGTGCCGGGGCCGTTCACGCCCTCGCGGTGGTCGGTGGGGAGCGGTCGGTGGGAGCCCGAGGCGGTCGGGCCGGGAGCCGCGGCGCGCGGCCTCGAGAAGAACGGGGAGCCCCGTCCGGCCGTCGGTGAGTTCCGTCGCGTCGTGACGCGCGCTGCCGGGCCGCCGCTCCGAGGAGCCGCCCTTCGGCCGCGGGGAAAGCGGCCGGGGCCGGTGGGTGGGAGGTGGCTGCGGGGCCGGGGCGGGGCGGGGCGGCTGTGCGGCGCCGGGGAGCTGCTCGAGGAGCCGCTCGAGGAGCCGGGTGCGGCCCCGTCGCAGCGGGAGGAGGACCCGGTGTGCCGCTGCCGCCTCCTCTCCCACGGCGGGATCGCTCTCGGAGGGCCGCTGCGGGGCGGGCTGCCGCGCCGTGCTCAGGAGCGGAGCCGTTAGGGCCGTTTCCCGTTAGGGCAGCCGGGCGGGGCGGCGGGAGAACGGCGGTGCCCGTGTCGAGCGGAGCTGCGTGGGGCGCCCGTGCGTGCGGGAAGCGTCCAGAGCCTTCTGTGCCCCGCTGCCAGCGGGAAACGAGCCGTGCCTTACCCTCGCCGTCTGTTCGGTGGCGGCGTGTGACGGGCCTTGACGTCACGCGTAGTAGAACCCTGCGGCTGACAACGCGAGCGGTGCCCGCGGCCAGGGAAGCAGCGCTGCCGGGAGTGAGGTTAAAGTACAGCGCCGGTTTGGTTCTGGCTCTAACACTAAACGAACGAGTCGTGTGTGGAAGTACGTAGCTCCTTGGATAGAGAGCAGGAATTTCATTTTTTCCTGACTGAAGGTAAATCTTGCCCGTGGGAGCCTTGAAGCGCTACATCTGTACATTTTTCCTCACTTGTGTTGCAGGTTGAAGCTCGTGCTGCAGTCGCTCTTATGGACATGTGAAAGTTGCTGTTGTGTGGCTGTATCTTAACTGAAGACTTCTCCCATTCGATGTTCCCTTCTGAACGTGGTAGGATATAGCTAGGGAAATATTTGATCATGCGTCACCTCCCGAGATAGGTAAACAGAGCACAATGTATTTTAAGCTGTTTGGTTGGGATTTGTTTGCATGTTTGTTTTTGCAAGATCATAACAAGAGGCATTTTGCTTGCTCTGTGTTGACTTCTGCAAAGAAAAATAGTTCACCCTAGTTCACCAATAGCTATGCTGCCAGGAGTCATGCCATTGGTTTACATAACACTGGTGCTAGCTGGTGTCTGGCTTGTCTGAGTGAGTTTACACTGAAGCGATATATACATGATCCTGCAGAATATATGATTGAGTGCATTGGTTGTGCATTGTATTCCGGGTCGTGCTATTGGTGCTGTTTTGTCACTGTTGATGAAAACTTGAAGTGATTTTACACTGTGTTGCACGGATTCCTAAACTGCTCTGAAAACGTGGGGAAACTGATGTTGTGGGAGTATAGCAAAAGTAGTAGTGAAAAAGTCATTCTAAGGTCTTAATCCAGAATACTGAAAATGTAAGGGAAGAGTAATTTTTGTATCTTGTGCAGACAGGCACAAAGTTTGTCAGCACAGAAACA